TATATATATATATATCCACCAAGAAGGAAGCTATTACAAAAGATATCCATTTGTGATTTGGCCAGTGACTCCGAGCTGGAGGAGTGAAAACAAATCACCAAAAGATGTCTCTGAGTAAAAATACAAACTGATAAAACAAAGAAACGATTCCAAAGCAAAAGAAGTCAGCGAGATAGGACGAGACATCCTCTCGGTCCCTTGGGAACAAAATCTTCAAATCCCCAAAAACCAGAAACCAGAACAGAGCAATGCCACTACCCCTGCGGGTCTGGTAGACCATTGCTGCATGAGCTTGACTCAGCAATATCCGGAAGGCCCGAGCTGTGAATGAGCTTTCTCAGCTTGATAGCTTTCTTAGTGGAGGAGGCCCCTGACCATAAAAGAAGAAAGTGAACAGCCTTGTTGATGATAAGTTGAGGTGAGGAAGACATATTAGAGAAGATAAAGTCATTTCTAGCTTTCCAAAGGATCCAACAAACTGTGGGAAAGCTGAAACTCCAAAGCAGCCGGGCCGAGGCAAGAATGGTCTAAAGGAAAAAAGTGGACGGATAACTTTTGTCTCATACTTTGGATCTTACATTTTAGTATTTTAGCGTCTCCTAAAATAAAATAAAGAAAGAAGTTGGTATTCGACTAGGACTAGCTCTTGTTAATTTGTTTTCCTGCGTAGAAATAAAATAAAATTCCAACCTGGTGATTGATTGACTAAATATGTGTCATTTCAAATCTGTTGAACATTATTAATCTAAGTTAAGAGTCCAGTTCCTATTGATTTCTTTTATTTTCTTCTGTGTATAAGAGATAAATGTTAACGTCATCCATTTTGATTATTATTGTTGCTTCGAAGTCAGTTAAAGGCTAGAGAAAAAACTAGCTAGAAAACATAAAGCCCTTGTCCGTTTCTTTCAGCCTAATTATGTTTGTTTAGTACTTAGTAGCTTTCGGAAGAAAGTTAATTAGGTTCAATTTTTAAATTTTCAGAAAAAGATTTGCTAAATACTCCACCTTTAGAAAACCAAATATCCACGATTTTATTTACTTTTACTTAAGGGGTGACGGCATACATTTAGAATTAGTAATTTGCTCGATATTTCTTTCTCAATTAGCTATTCATCTTAATTTAGATTATTTCATATCTTATTTTGGAAATATATCGTTTACATGTATAAACACCGTCAATTAATTGTAACTTAGTATAATTGAAGAATTTTATTTCCACAAATGATATATATATTTTACAGACTATACTAGTCAAAAGTTCGTATTTGCTATATTTTACTAATTTATTTTAGTATCGCTTCATTTTGAAGAATGTTTATTAAGGTGAGGCCTCATCTCTTAGTTTCTCTTTAAAAAAATTACAATTGAGGAAACTCGCTATGCTTTGCAAAGTATTGGACATTTTTCCATAACACTTTGAACCATCTACTAAAATAAAACACAAATGAGACGATTTTGATATCATTTAGTCATGGACAAGATGTGAAATTTTGGCACAAAAATATCTAAATTCAAGCAGTTTAGGAAGGAAAATTTTACAAAATAGGTCTATTTTGTAAATTTCTTCGTTTAGGAATAAAGCAGTCAAATTAAACGAGCTCGGACTTACATAATTGAAGTTCAATAGACTTATAGCATGGAAACGTAAAATATTAATAGTCAACGATTTTAGGCAAGTGGTTTCTTGTAACAAGAACCGACCTATGGTTTCCATCATTATATGGTTATTTATATGCTTTTATAACACGAACGGGGGATTATTCCATTGTAAAATACTAGTTTTCATGGATAAAACTATTTTAGAAGGTGTTAACAAACCGCGTGTCGAAATAAACTAATGCTCGTGAGAGGAGTGGATTTTTTATTGTGAAGGATTCAACATATTTATTTATATAAAATTCATGCTTTCCTTATTTTTCTGGGTCTTGAAGCTTTACTTCTGAAAAGATTTCCATTCGATGCCTTTCGGCGTCATGTTTTCACATTCTCAACCAGCACACTCGGCAATGTCGGCATCATCATCGGAGTACGCATGAAGAGAGAAGGAAGAAACAAGGGCGTAGAACCGAAAAAGACCCGTTTATTGTCAGTCGCATTCTTGCCATCACGCGGTGGAATTAGACTGTAAGTACTGTTATTATGCAATAATGCTTTAAACTCATCTAATATTGTAGAAACTTTAGATGCTCTAAGCGGAATTGCAGGAAACGTTTTCCTAACATCTAAACGAAGGATCTATTGCATAAATCACTTGGCATTAAGAAAACAGGAACAAACGATTACCTCTTGATGGCGTGTTGCAAAGCCTTCTCTAATGGAGAGATTAAGAGTCTCACTTGAAAACTCCTCTAGTTGATCCACCCGAGCAAAGATCCTGGGCATCCTTAGAATCAACTGCTAGGTTAAGATGAAAGGTTTTTTTGGGAGAGAAACGTAGAAACACCTCACGTATATAGAGAAAATGGAGAATTGGATTTGGATTTTCTAAGAGAAAATCCACTGCTTTTACTAATCCACAAATTAAAGTCCATATTTAATTCTATAATTAAATATTACTTGTTATATCATTTATAAATATAATTTATCCTTTATTTACAATACATCCTTATTATTATAAACTCTATTTTTGAAGTTATACTCTTAAATATAACTTTTATATTATATACTTTATATAATATTGCTCCCAATATATCAGTCCATAAACTCTTAGGGTGTGACTCGTAGGACCTAATTATACATAGTAATGAACTTTATAACATAAAACCATAAAATCATAGTTGGCTCTAGCAAAGCATCTTTGTAACTATGACTACTCCTAAAAAATACCGATTGTAAATCTCTAATTAAATGTCCCATACCATAATTAGTAATTGCACATTCGATTAAAGGACACAATTTCTTCATCTCCCACTGTGTCCTTGAAACAAGTGGTGCAG